AGAGATTAACAACATATAAAGACAAATGAAGTTAGAGAATCTTGAAGAAATGAACGCGAAAAGTTATGAAGTTCAATGAATTATTTGTTCTGGTATCATCAACGCTTGTTGTTTCATCTTAAAAATTTAAGATTAGGAGCTTACTACATTTTGAAGATCGTATGCTTCTTTGATTATTAGTCACATTGAATTGTTCATTCGAGCCCCAGTCTAGATTTTAATTTAAGTCAAATTTAACAATTTATTTCATCCACATATTTTATGGGTCCTTCGACTTTTTAACCATATATTTCATCAACTTCTATCAAAATCTACTAAAAATCTGATTTTAATCCCCTCCAAACGAGGGCATGTGAAGACTTGTTATTCTATTTTAAAAGGAATAATTCAAATTCTTATATATTTTATATTTATTCAATATGAAATATTTGCTATTAAGTTTTTAAATTAATCAATTAATATGATATTAGAGAAGCTAGGGAAAGGCGCGATGAAAAAATAAATAATAATATTATTCATCGTTGGTACAAATCATCACATGTGTATATGGCCGTGAACTCCCTAATTAATTGTTCATGCATTAATAACATTACTCATAAATAAATCCAGATCGAATGTGTTCAAAACTAATTTAAATCATGTTTCTTTCCTATCTTAATCGTTTTTTTCTCAAGCGATACTTGGATCGATCATTAGTTAATGCAAACTCTAAACATAACTAAAAAACTACACGATTAAGCCCATGTTTGACAGAAATTATAATTGAAATTTTTATCAAAGTCAATAATTAATTTTAACCACATATACCATATGATCCACAACTTTTCAATCACACGCTTCATTAACTTTTATCAAAATTTGCTAAAAAAAATTATTTTAATTTCTACCAAACAAAGGTTAAATGTCTAATTATATTTTTCTCTTTCAGTACTGAATTGTGTACTATACAACAAAATTTTCAACCTAAAAAAACTCAGATAATTTGTATGTCATTGACAATAACATCTCAGTGCCTAAATGGTTATATTTTTACTTTGTTGCCAGATTTTTTAACATATTTACTGATAGAAGAAGATGTGTAAAAAAATGATTGGATGTCATAATTGACTATTTTAAAACGGATTAATGAAATTTTGCCATGTGAACATTCTGATAATAAAGAGGTGATCCAAGATGTCAATACAGAATAACTCATATTTTTATGTTGAATTTTTTTTGAAAATTTCTGAATTTCCTCGGAGAAATTACTCAGCTTTTTCATCAATTAGCCACAAAGGTCTTGGTTGATAAAAAGTTTTATTTTAATTTCTACCATACAGAGATTAAATGTCTAATTCTCTCTCACTACTGAATTGTATACTAAACAACAAATTTATCAACCTAAAAAAACTCAGATAATTTGTATGTCATTGACAATGACATCTCAATGCCTAAATGGTTATATTTTTACTTTGTTGCTAGATTTTTTAACATCTTTACTGATAAAAGAAGATGTGTAAAAAAATGATTGGATGTCATAATTGACTATTTTAAAAAGGATTAACGAAATTTTGCCATGTGAACATTCTGACAATAAAGAGGTGATCTAAGATGTCAATACAGAATGACTCATATTTTTATGTTGAATTTTTTTTGAAAATTTCTGAATTTCCTCGGAGAAATTACTCGGCATTTTCATCAATTAGCCACAAAAGTCTTGGTTGCTAAAAATTTTTATTTTAATTTCTACCAAATAGAGATTAAATGTCTAATTATATTTTTTTTTTCTCTCATTACTGAATTGTATACTATACAACAAAATTTTCAACCTAAAAAAACTCAGATAATTTGTACGTCATTGACAATAACATCTCAATGCCTGAATGGTTATATTTTTAGAATTAAACTTTGTTGCCAGATTTTTTAACATCTTTACTGGCAGAAGAATATGTGTAAAAAAATGATTGGATATCATAATTGACTATTTTTTAAATGGATTAACGAAATTTTACCATGTGAACATTCTGATAATAAAGAGGTGATCCAAGATGTCTTTTGAACTTAATTCCACCTACAATTGAACAAATCAAAGTAATTAGTAAGAATCAAGAAAAATAATAAAAGGAAATCAAAGAATTGAAGAAGAAGAAGTTAAAATGAAATTAATGTTTTCCCCTTTTCTTTAGGCTCAGAAAATCATCAATCCCATACTACAAAGGCAACACCAAATTTGGAGAACTTGGAAGCACCGAGAATTGCACACAAAGGCAGGAAGAAGAAGAGAGAAATTTCACAGTGAAGTGAGGAATAGAAGAAGCCGGTTTCTTCACTGTTTTTGGTGTGTAAATATGAGAACAGGAGACTCCAATTTATAGGCAAGGTGGAAAACGAATTTCCAGATTTTCCTCTTCAAGATAGAGTTCACAAAGAACTGAAATGGTTAATTAAGGATAAGAGTTATACAAATTTGAATGAAGAGATAAACTACACTTATCACATTATCTCCAATAATTGAGCATTGAGCATCTAGCCCAATGAGCTGATTTCCTCTAAATATCCAATAAGATTTGGGCTACATCGTTTGTGGTGTGAGTTTTAATTACTCTTCAATTCCGGGCTTATCGCCTATGAAGTTAAATGGGCCACGATTTTTCATCATTGCCTATGGATAATTTGGGTATCACTAAAATATCCAACAATGTCAATACAAGATGACTCATATTTTTATGTTGGATTTTTTTTGAAATTTTCTGAATTTCCTCGGAGAAATTACTCATCTTTTTCATGAATTAGCCACAAAAGTCTTGGTTGCTAAAAAGTTTTATAATAAGGCTGCATTTTCATGGTCTAAAGCGGTCCACTACTTTTTTTTCGTTTGGGTATTGAACAAAATGATGAAATGTGGAAGATTAGATTTTTTTCGGTCGTCAGGAATCAGCATGCTTTGTTTGGTAGGGATTAAAAATTAAACTTTAACTCAATCGATAATTAATTTTAACTACATATTTTATGAGGACAACTTTTCAACTACACAATTCATCAACTTTTATCAAAATTTATTGAAAATCTAAATTTTTAATCCCCACCAAACAAGTATTTAGTAC